TGCTGAAACCTGTAATTTTGGATAACCCTGTGCTAGCATCTGAAATACCAGTGACCCAGCTTCCAAAATCACAGCAACACACAAGCCACCACAGTATGACACACTGACAGACAAGTGGTTCCATCAAATTGGTTCTAACCCATAATAATCCTATACGATCTCATACACAACAGAGTGTAACATTGCCGTGCTCTCGCCATCCTTACCGTAGTGTCTGTGCTTGACCCCATTGTTGCGCTGTCTTCTTGAGGACTTTCCTTTTTCACTGCCCTTTCACTTTCCCAAGCATGTTGTCTTTCTCCAGGGACAAGTCTCTCTTGACAACATGTCTAAAGTATGTGAGACAAAGGCTCACCAGCCTTGCCTCTGAGGAGTACCTCTTCCAAGATGGATTTATTTGTTCTTTTGGCAGTCCATGCTACTTTTAATATTCTTTGCTAACATCACATTTCAAACATAGAGGTATAGAGGCCAGACTTAATGTCACATCTAGGATTATGATTAAAGGGCCATATTGATCGACAACATCAGTGAATATGAATATGAAATGAATATGAAAGTATTGGTGAATACCTTCCTTCTAAATCATCTCATTTATTTATTTTTTAGCATAGAAAATGTTCTTTTGTTGATGTTTTTGTGCTCAAGTAACACTAAATAAATACTTTAATGTGGGAAATAATGCAGTGTGATAGTGTATGTGTACAAAAATGACTAAAAAATCGTATGTGACATTAGAAAGTTACCTATACACGAGTTTACATATGATAATATGACTGTGACTTAGGAAGAGTCTTAGGTGTGTAAAGGAATCTAAAATAGAGTGAAGGGAAGAGACAGTAGTAACTTGGAAATATTTTTGGATAAATGAGGGCAATAATGTGCTACTGACAAATGTAGAAAAACATGGACAATTTTTAATTAACCACTGAATATGAGAAAGCGATAACGTCACAATTTGTTAGCACAGATTTTTAATTCCACAAATAGGAGTATTAGCCATTTTCCATGTCACCTGTGATTAGAAAATAGAAAATTGTTATAGTCTCTTAACTGATACTTTCTCATCTAAACTTACAGTAATCTGCAGACATAGTAGAAGTAGATTGAAATTGATCATTATTATTCTAATTATACCATTAACTTATTTGCTTTCACCAATAATCTTATCATAGTGTCTAATTGTAGAAGTCGTTGGGTGAACTCATAATAAAAAATGAATTCAATTTAGGACCTTTATTAAAGCTTTGTAATGGTTAATGGGTTATATTGGAAGTGATTAAAATTATACAGGGTTAGCTTATTGTGGACTATAAATAATGGAAAATAGACTCTTTACCAGGCCATTCATTTGGTTTTATTGCTGTGTATACTTTTACCAAAAAAAGATTATCCTAAAAAAAAGTTTAATAAATGCCCATAAAGTAGAGTGCTTGTTAATAGTGTACGGGTTGCTAAAGAATTTAAAGGGGTTGAACCTATTGCAATGAACGATACATTCTCCCCACCTCACCCCCCTGGAACCCAATAGAAACATGGATGAAGGGTGACAGCGGTCAGTGTAAGACAGGAAAACAATAATTTATAATTTATCAAGGGGTCGTGGGGTGGGAGGGAGGGAAGAAAGAGGAGTTGATACCAAGGGCTCAAATAGAAAGCAAACATTTAGAAAATGATGATGGCAACATATATGCAAATATGCTTGATACAATTGATGTATAGAATGTTACAAGAGCTGTAAGAGCCCCAATAAAATGATTTCAACAAACAAACCAAAAAAGAATTGAAAGGGATTATATTCAACCCAAGTATAATTTCCTAGGATATTACTATAAAATCTAGGAAAAGCTTTAAGAATATAACTGAGGCTCTGGAGGTAAGTGTATTTTATTGTGTTTTAATTTCAAAAGAGCCATATTGAGTATAAAAATGTGTCACATAGTGTTTATGTGTGCAACATCCAACTTCATGTATTTCTGTAGTCCCGTAAGATTTTAATGAGAGTTCAGAAATCCTGCTCTGAGAACGGGATAGAGCAAACACAGCAACTCCTAGCACACAAAACCATGTATCTTGTGTCTCCTGTATACTACCATGATTTGCATCATGGCTCCAAAATACAGCAAAACCAGTGTTAGTGGTAATAGCAGCAAGAAACAAAGGAGAAGTATGGATTTGGAAATGAAACAAAAGGTTATCAAGCATGAAGGTGGTAAATCAGTGAATGTTGTTGCTTACAATTTAGGCATATTGTACTCAACCATTAATATGATTCTCCAAAACAAAAAATTCTCCAAGCTGTTAAAGAATCATATCCACTGAAAGCTATGAACCTAATGAAAATGAGAGGGTGATATAGTTAAAGTTTATTGTGCCAACCTGGCCGATAAAAAAAGCACGTGGGGTTAATTGAAGGGTGGCGAGATAAATGGCTTGGTGAGCCTCACCTTTCTAGGTCTCGGGTCTCTTGCTTTGTGATGGTCGGACCAGGGTGCGGAGCCTTAGCCAGTTCCCTGCTTCAACTGGCAAGGCTGACTTCCTGCAAGACCTTCCCAAGGAGAAGCTGCATGGACCTACCCTGGGTGCTGGAGCAGCCGTGTGGAGGCCCCTGCCAGCGCTGAGATGCTTACACGTTCACTGATTCGGCTTTCCTCCTGCAGTTGGTGTCATAGTGTGTGTTTTGTGAGATGGAGGAGGACTTTGCGGATTGGTGTCGGACATATGGGTTAATGTTGGACTTGTGGGCTTGGGCAGTACTGGGTTGGGATGTTTTCTAGACGTGCACTTAACTCTTATATAAAACTCTCTTACACATGAGTTTCTGCGGATTTGTTTCTCTAAAGTACCCAGACTAATTAATACAGAGGGACAGATATCAGAATGGGGAAATTGTTAATCATGTGGATCAAATACCAGACACAAAAGCAAATTCTTCTCAGCACATTGGATGATTATTGCTGATAACACAAAACTTGCCTAAGATGTGTATTAGAAAAGCACGAACAGAGTGTTCTCACAATGTCCAAAGCATGTAATGGCGTGTCATGAACTGAATGGTGTCCCCACAAATGGTGTCAGCTTGGTTGAACTGGAATTGCGAGGTTTGTCAGTTATGTAATGGTGTAATTTAGCAGTTTGTAATGACAGTCACCCCCATAATATGATCAGTTGTCAGAGTATTAGGGTGGGACTCTACCCCCTACTCAAGTCACAGCCCTTATCCATTTTAAGAGCCATTTCCCTGGATGAGAGAATAGAACTGAGAAAGAGGGTTTAGTTACCACTAAGTAAAAACAGCTGGAAGCAGAGCACATTCTTTGTATTGGAGGGCCCTGTGTTTCGAACTTTCTAGACCCACAGAAAGATTGATGCCAAGACACGGTGATCTCCCAATTATTGCTGTGTTCACAGTTGTTGAAAGGTGTCAAGGACTTTTTCCTAGAGTAGACATAGAAAGCTTTCCCCTAGAGTTGCTCCCTGAATTTGGATCCCTAACCACTTAACCAAACCAAACCAAACCAAACTCACTGCCATCTAGTCATTGCTGACTCATAGTGACCCCACTGTGGCTTTCTGAGACTGTAACTTTATTGGAATAGAATTCCCATTCTTGAGGAGCTGCTAGTGGTTTTGAACGGCCAACCATGCAGCCTGCATGCAGCCCAATGCGTAGCAACTACACCACCAGGGCTCTACACTTAACACTGTGAGGAGATATATTTGTTAGAATCATCCACTTGTGGAATTTCTGTTATAGCAGCACTAGGTTACTATGACAGTCCTATTTCATAGACAGTATTGTGGGCATTAAGTAAGGCATGGCTGTGTATATAATGTGTACACAGCTTTTAAGAGCTAAATTAAATCTAGAGTGACAGCTGCTTACCTTGGACACTGGCTTTCTGGAGAAAATGTGGAAAATTGAATTCTAAATGGTCAGAAACGAGTTGGGAAAAGCACTGTGTCAATCCAAACGCCTTTCCTAATGAAAGAATAAAGCATTGGTTACAATTGAGGTGGAATGTCACAGGGCTTACCTGACTGGAAGAAAATGATATGTCTTACTTAGAGTGTTCAGTTTTCTCAATGAAATATAATTATCTTCCAACAAAGTTTGCATTTCCTAAAATGAACTCTGTATTCCAATTTGTTTCTCTTACAATATTGGAACTAACTGCAAAAATTCTCTCAAAAGGATTACTTTTTAATCTTCCACTGCATAAGAAAGTACTGTGAATTTGTCTCTAATTACGCTTTGTGGACTGGTTTTGCAATTAATGGTATTTAGATATGCTTTGGGAATGTGAGCTGCCTCTTTAGCCATCTCAGTTTTTAGCATAGGGCTGGTATGGTAGTGTGCACCCCCAGACTTTTCATTTTATGTAAAGCCTAGTGCTCAGTTTCTGAGCATCATTAAAAAAACTTTTTTTTACTGGTATATATTTCACATATCATACATTTGAATGTTCAGTCAGATTAAGATGATTTGTGCACACCACAGTCAATTTCAGAACATTTTGTCATACTCATTATTAGCTTTTTATTTCTTCCATCCTCTTCTGCCATGCCCCTAGTAATTATTAATCCAGTTACTTTCTCTCTAGATTTACCTACCTTGTATTTCATATACAGAAAATCATATAAAACACAAATAAGGAAGCTAACAAATGACAACTAGATGAAACTGAGCAAAAGCCGCAATTAAAAGGATAGCAGGAAATATTAAACACTGAAACAACTTTAAAATGAGCCAGAAGAGAACAAATGATAAGGTATTACATTTCAACCTAAGCATCTGCTGTAATTGACTTTACAAGGCTTGGCATCTGATAGGTTATTCATATCCCTGAAGTATGGTCAGAGGGGATTCACCAGAGGATGAATCATGTGTTGACCCTACAAGTAGATTTGGGCCTTCCACTGCCCTCCATAGCCTTCTTCAAACCAGATGTTCAAAATTTAAATTTTGATACCTTCCCCGATCAGATTTTTTTTTCCCCCCCAGTCTCCAAAGACTTTATTGTATTGGTCAGTGTGCTTTGGAAGGAGACAGGACATCAATCCTACTGCTTCCAACCCCAGAAGAAGAGCTGTACACAGGACAGGCACAGTGCCAAAGGGCCCACGGAGATGGGACTGCTTTGTCCGCCTCTTACTCGTAGATCCAGTCATAGCAACAAGACTTGTACTCTACCAGTTCCTCCGGCTTAAACCAGAGGCTGATTTCTTTCTCAGCGCTCTTGACCGAATCACTGCCATGAATGATGTTCCTGCCAACTTGAATACAGAAGTCCCCTCGGAGGGTGCCTGGCTTAGAATCTGCTGGGTTGGTCTCTCCCAGCATCACCCTACCCGTCTCCACCACATTCAGCCCCTCCCAGACCATGGCCACAATGGGTCCTGAGTTCATGTACTTCACCAGCCCTGGGAAGAAGGGGCGGTCTTTCAAGTCAACGCAGTGCTGCTTCAGGTGTTCCTCGGAGGCCGGAACGAGCTTCATGGCCACCAGACGGAAGCCCTTCTGCTCAAAGCGCTTGATGATGTCGCCCACCAGGCCGCGCTGCACGCCGTCCGGCTTGATGGCGATGAAGGTGCGCTCGCTGTTGGCCATGGTGCGAGTCCGGCGGTGGGGAGCGGGTGGCCGGGTCGGCGGAGCTGGAGCAGAGCCCCCGATCAGATTTTTTAAAATATTAATTTTATTTTATTGGGGGCTCTTACAGCTCTTATCACAATCCATACATATATCCACTGTGTCAAACACATCTGTACATATGTTGTCAATATCTTTTTCAAAACATTTTCTTTCTACTTGAGCCCTTGGTATCAGCTCCTTGTTTTTTATTTTTGTTCCCTCTCCCACCCTCCCTCTCTCATGTCTCCTTGATAATTTATAATTTACGCCCCCCGCCCCCATGTCTTACACCAACCGCTGTTCCTTTTACCCACTTTTCTGTTGTCCGTCCCCTTGGGATGGGGGCCATATGTCGATTATTGTGATTGGTTCCCCTTTCTCTGTGACCCCCCCCCTTTCTCTCCTACTATCGCTGCTCCCCTTATTGGTTCTGGGTGGTTTATTTGTTCAGGATTTCCTGTGTTGTGAGCCCTATCTGTACCAGTATACATGCTCTGGTCTAGCCAGATTTGTAAGATAGAATTGGGGTCATGATAGAATTGGGGAAGAAGCATTGAAGAACTAGAGGAAGGTTGTGTGTTTCGTCGGTGCTATACTGCACCCTGACTGGCTCGTCTCTTCCTTGTGACTCTTCTGACAGGGGGTGTCCAACTGACTACTAATGGGCTTTGGGTCTCCACTCTACCCTTCCCCTCATTCTCATTGATAGGCTTTTCTTTGTTTGTTTTGGGTCTTTGATGCCTGATACCTGATCCCATCTACACCTCATGATCACACAGGCTGGTGTGCTTCTTCCATGTGGCTTTGTTGCTTCTTACCTAGATGGCCTCTTGTTTATCTTCAAGCCTTGAAGACCCCAGACGCTATATCTTTTGATAGCTGGGCATCATCAGCTTTCTTCACCACATGTGCTTGTGCACCCATCTTGTCTTCAGCAATCATGTCAGGGAAGGTGAACATCACAGTGCCGTGTTAGTAGAACAAATTGTTGTTGCATTAGGGAGTACTTGAGTGGAGACCCAATGTTCATCTACTGCCGAATACTTTTTAAATAAATATATGTACATAGATCTATTCCTCTATCATTATATATAAATTTTGTATTTGTATATCTATATCTATATATGCCTGTATTTAGACCTCTATAAATGCCCTTTGCCTCCCAGTTCTTTCTTCTATATCCTTTTACTTTCCTCCTGTCCCACTAGCACGTTCAGCCTTTCTTCGTGTTTTGGTAATTTCTCTTGGCTACATTGCCCTTGATCAAGCCCTCCAAGCATCCTATGTCATCTTCGCCATCAGTTTTAGGTCCCTTATTCTTCCCTTGTTCCTGGGTTTATTAGCATCTCCTTCCTTCCCCCCCCCCCCCCCCCCCCCCCCTGCCCCCCTCGTATGTTTCCTGGAACCGTCGGTCCCCTTGTTCTCTGCTCTGGATTGTTCATCTCACCTATCTTGCCCAGAGAGACATGCAGTCAATTAGATGTGCAAAAAAACCCAAAGAAAAACAAAACATGACCACAAAAAAGGAAGACAAAAAATAAATGAACAACAGCTAATATACCAAGCCAAAACAATAAATAAAGCCATTTAAAAAACAGCAAAAATTGAAAAGCCCTCAAATAGCTTCAAGTCTGTCCATTAACCTTTATGAGTGTTTTCCAGTTGAGTCTGCTGGGGTGCCACACTCTGGCCCCCAAATCCCCCTTTGGCATTCCTTCGGGACTTCTTTGTTTTGCTCCCCTGCTGTTCCACTGTACACCTTTAGTGTTTCAGCCCAGTGCGGTGGGGTCAGATCAGGCACATCTCCCTCACTGTGTCCCCAGTGCTGTCTGCCTTAGCACTGTGTGTCAGTGAGCGACTTCGTTGTGTCTCGTGGTGGGGCCGGCCCTGGTATCTCCTCTCTGCATTGGTTGCTCTGAGTCGGAATATTGTCCTCAGGGCTTGGTGGGTCCCCCATCAGATTTGGATTTTATTATTTACAAGCCTTGGATTACACATGTTGGTGTGCTTCTTCCATGTGACTTAGTTGATGCTTTGAGCTTAATTTTGATTTCACACTACATTGTGCCTAAGAATAGTGCCGTTTCCCTCTCTTCCATGGGTGTTTATTAAGTGTAGTGAATATAATAAATGCCTTTAATTATTTAGAAATACCTTTAATTCTGTACTTCAATAACATATTAGTGTTAGCTGAAAATTATTTAAGTTTCAGGCTCTGTAAAATTAATTTGAAGTTCAGTTTACTTAATTTTAATTGTAGGAGTAGGATAAATAAATACCTAGGAACTCTTAGAAGATTTTAAAGAAACATTCTAGTCTGTACTTGGAAGAATAAGGAAATCAAGTTCAATCTAATTTGATTCAGGCTCAGCAACTCTGTGACAGAGTAGATTTTCTGAAAGCAGACTGCCACATTTTTCTTCTGGTGGGTTCAAACCACTAACCTTTTGTTTAGCTCTTTAACCACTGTGTCAGCAGGGCTTCTTGGAAGTCACAAAGTAAACCCACTGGCAGCCCAGTTATTTCCAAGGCTGTAAATTTTTTTTTTTACTGTCATTTTTGTAAATGATTTTATTAGGGTATTATACAGGTATTATAACAATCCATAAGTCAATTATATCAAGTGAAATGTACATATGTTGGCATCATCATTTTCAAAACATTATTGTTCTACTTTAGCCCTTTGATGTTAGTTCATCTATTTCTCTCCCTCCCCACCCCCACTCTTGTGAACGCTTAATAAAGTATATATATATGTTTTTTTCTTTTTTCTTTTCTTTTCTTTTTTTAATCCCAAGGCTGTAAATTTTTATGGGAGTAGATGGCCATATCTTTCTCTGGTGGAGCTGCTGTTGGCCTAGAACTGGCGACTTTGAGGTTAGTTAGCAGCTCAACACTTGACCGAACAGTCACGAGGGCTTCATTGAAGTTGAGGAAGGTGTGTAGATTTGAGAGGAGCTTATGGTGGTTCGTGTATGGAATAACCTGCCTGGATAGCTGTATGGCAGGTGACTAGAGAAACTTTAGTTCTGGGTTGAATAATGCAGATTGAAAGTTTTAAAAATTTACCTTTGTCGTACAAGATAATTATTAAGGCATAAGAGTAAGTTATTTTATGTGTTTGAATTAGACATCTTCCATGTAGGTACAATAAGAATAAGATGGATACCATGTAAATTTAGTAGCCAAATTGAGTTGTAACTAGTAATTATTTTTCCCACTTTGGGGGAGTGATAACTTATTTCTAGAGTCTAATTACAGTACACTAAGTTATTATATAAGGGACGTTTCATAGGAACAGTTTAAAAATGCAGAATTTTTAGGTATAGGAAAATTGTGCTAGTTGCATTTTTCTGTGAGTCTTGGCATATATAAATTATCTGACTGGAGAAAATAAATCATTTCACTTAATTCACAATAACAGGAGCACAACGTATAGCCTTTATAGTTGGTTATGCTTCTAGACTTTTATATTTAAATCTAAGGAAGAATGACGTGACCTTCTCGTTCTTTGTTTGATGTGTATTTGAGTACTATAGAAAGACATGAATTATGTACTACTTTCATACTCACCATTGATTATTTGAACTTGTCTCGTTAATTTCTAATGGCATTTAAAACTTTTTAATTTTGTAGCTTTTAGGAAATCGTATGCTCTTACTACCTATGAAATGTTTATCATAGGGGCTTCTGAAGTTATAAATCTGAGGTTACAAGTGCATTTTTGTGCTAGAAAATTCTGGTGGTGACTGATTATAGAATTGGTTATGTAATTTAACGTCACAAGAACTAGAGCTAGTTACAAAACAGATGCTTGCTTGTTTTGTCAGTGCTTTAAGAATGGAGAATATCATACAACTGGATTCTAGTTCCTCAGAACAACAACAAAGTCCATATAGGCTATAAATCTTTATGGGAGCAGAATCTTTCCCCTTGCTAACTTTGTGGTTAGCAACCCAACTTACCGTATACACTTGTATAAGCCGACTTGAATATCAGCCGAGCACCTCATTTTGCCACAAAAACTGCATTAAAAATGTGCTGAACAACTCGGCTTATACTCAGTTATATTTGGTATATCCCATTATGCCCCCAGCGCTCTCTGAGTTCCTCAGAAGATATTAGGAAGTAGAGACAATTATAAATGTATAATGCCTTTAAAAATAGTAAAGGCTCTTTAGGGAGAAAGTAATGAAAATTGAACTCTAAGATGGAAATCTTAATGTGCCTGGATATCTACAAAAAGCCATAATTGAGTATATTCTAAATATCTTTCTAAAATATTTTCCTACATATTGTAATCCTCAAGTCATGGAGATCATTGGCCACAATTTTTATTTTCCTATTTTAAAAAGTTATTTCCAAAAACTCAAGTCAGAATGCTGCTCAGCTAAGTCAGAATGCTGCTCAGCTATTTACTAGTGGCCAGAGCATCTAATATGTGTTTTCCTCAGTGCTGTCCTCTGGTGATTATTGTGGAGATCTCAATATTATTCCTAAATCAATCCAGGGCAGTAGATGACACACAAGGCACAGTCTAAGTGCCACCTGCTGCAAATCCACTTTTACTTTGGAGAAAATGAGTGGAGTATGAGAAGAGCATTTATATATTATAATTATGATGGAGCTCTGCAAAGCGTTTAGCAGGCTTATATTAATAGCCAATTCATTGTTCTTTTTATGTAAGGTATTGTAATTTCTAGTACCAAACCCACTGCCATTGAGTTGATTTCAACTCAGAGTGATCCTTATGTAGCATTTCTGCGATTGTAAATCTTTACAGGAGGAGACAACCTCATTTTTTTCCTGTGGAGTGACTTTTTGGGTTTGGACTAAGGACCCTATGGTTAGCAGCCCAACTTTTATCCTGCAGTGCCCCACACCCCCAAAAAACACATCAAACAAACCCAAACCACACCTACTGCCATCAAGTTGATTCTGGCTCATTGTGACCCTATTAGGGTTTCTGAGGCTATAAATCTTTACAGGACTAGATAGTCTCCTCTTTCTTACAAAAAGAGTACATGA